ATATAAAATTTCAAACTGACCAATTTCTTAATGTGGTGCTAGTTCTGGGACAGATAAGACCAGTGTAGCATTGGTCTTATCTGTCCCAGAACTAGCACCACATTAACTAGCATACCACATCACATACTAATGTGATTATGCCAGAACAAAACTGTGTCTTGGCTCTGAAAGTCAACAGCTTGCCTGACGGGTTCACCGAAGAATGTAAATCAAGGTTATATACACAGGAGTAAAGTACCAAGTTTATTTTTTTGTTTTGTATGTTTAATAACAAGTCACAGCTCAAGACCAGCTTTTCTGAGAAAAATAATAGAATCATTACAGAACAAGTGTAAGCTGTGGAACAGACTGAGCCAGGCAGCAGAGTGAATACCAATGAAGAGCTCTGAGAAAATTAACAATGCATTAATTCTACTTATCTTGATGGCAGTATTGTTTTATTGATTACAGTGCAATTTATTTACCATGGTGGAATGGCTTGTTTTAAATGAGAGTGGCAAAAGGTTCTTTAAATTACTAAAACAACTGATGCAGAACTGTCATCTAGCTGTTCTCACTTAAGAGTAGAGTCCTCAAACTAAAGCCTTGGCTTGCCAGTTATCCCATTGCAGAAAGTGCTGTCTTGCTGTAAAAATAAAACTGCAGAAACAGTTATAGCATACTGCTTTAACTACACATGTACATTTATATATTTTACATGCTGAACTTGGAGAGCTGGATTGTCGCAATGCTTCAATGTGAACAAAGTTGTGCCTATTTAATTTATTTGTGTCTATATTTAACAATCCGTGTAGCTCCATGTGGTTGTCCGTTTGGACTGGAAGGGATCAGAAGGATCTTGTCTCAGAGGGCCCATTCACACCACATCCAGATCATCTCCAGACCAGACCAGATTGTTTCTTGACCCAAAATGCATCCTAATGTATCCCTATGCTACTTCTGGCCTGTTTACACCAACTCAGTCCATTCCAAACCAGACCAGAAAATTTCTGCACGTCTCATTTTGTCTGGTCTGGAATAAACTGGAACTGCGGGCAGGTTCACACCATTTTTCGGACCAGATCTATCCCTTCACATAAAACTAGATTTTATGGTTACTAGAATTCTATATTGTGACTATACACCAGCATCATAAAAACATTTTTTGACATTTTGTTTCATATTTTTTTTTAGTATTTTCTATGGCCACCTCCAAAGTTATTGGCACTACAAGATCACCAATGGTAAGTGACCTGCTCATATACATCTGAGCAATTAATGAAAACCTATGTTGAGAATAATTGACATTGCTGATCTCCTTCTAGCAATCCTATTGCTTGGCAGCCATGTAGATCCGAGGGTCAGAACTGCTTATCAGCATGCTTGCTCTGGGTTACTATTAAAACCAGAGGTCTGCCATGATAGCACATCCAATCATTGCTGTGTGCCTTCCTTTTCAGCACTGTGGTTGATTTTCTTTTACCATTTGAAAATGCTCTCTCTCCTGGATTGAGTTCAGGTGTTTCCAGGCCCCTGTCAGGGTTCCCTGAAGACACTTTTGCGTGCGCGCACCCACCGACACTATGGATGCCTCCTCCCTCTCCTGCCTGTGTCCATAGGACATAATGACACTCTCCTCCCTCCCCTACTCCTCCCTCCTCCAAACAAGTGATTAGCAGCACAGCCCAAGCCTGTGCTGTCCAGAGTAGAGGCTTTGTGTGATGAAATTGATGTGATGTGCACTCTCCCAAGTTTAGAGACAGCACTTTGTGACCTGGACTTGGCAGTGGTGAAAAAAAAAGAACTGCAAGCATGTTTACACAGAGAGGAACTAAACATTTTTAGTGGGGATTGTTTTACAGGTTCCCTAGGATGCATTGCGGTAGAAAACCTGGAGCCTTTAGTACTACTTTAGAAAAGGAGAGAAATTATGTTATGATTCACCTCCCATTGATTTCAATTGAGTTCTCATTAAAATTAACAACTGGTGATCTTTTCAGTGCATCTGCCGAATGCACCCGCAAGTTTATCCATTACTAGTTTGAATCTGGTGACTGCATGCCTTCATGCAGCTCCAATAGGGTCACAGAGCAGTGGGAGAGCGCAAGCAAGGTCCATATAAGTGGGTCAGGGGTAGGCTAGCTAGAAACATTATAATTTCACCATGAATAGGCAAAGTGACAGATTCTGTTTTAATGTCAGTTTAGACAACGAGGCAAACGTTTTAGAACACCCCTATTTTTATGAAAATGTACGCAGTTTATTGTCTCATCGTACTCTGAAAATAAAGCATTGTCACACAACGGCTTGAACTATGAGGATGAATGATTTTCATTCACCTCATAGTTCTCCTTTAAAGTTCAAATAGCAGCAATATTCCGGGGCACTGGAATATTTTCTTGACAATGGGTACTGCACTTGGCTCTGTCTTCCTGTCACATATAACAGATTTTTGCATTTTCTTCTATCTTTTGTAAAGCCCAACTGAACACTTATTAATAAAAATGAAACAGACTGCATATACAATATTAAATATGGGGGTTCTTTTTCTTTTTTTCCTTTTTTTTTTTTTTTTTTTTT